ACTGCAGCAGTGTAGATTAAAATTTCAATGTGATAATGATATACACTTATTAGGATATTATCAAATAAAATAAAAATAAAATTAATTAATTAATTGCCATAAAAATGTGGAGGACCTTTCACTCTCATTTACTGCTGTGATAATACAAAAAGGCATGGTCACTTTGGAAAATGATTTGAGTTTTTTTTGACAACCTAATGTAAACATCCCATACAAGTCAGTAATCTCACTCTTGAGTATGTATCAAAGTAAAATGAAAATATGTCCACCTGAAAAATGTGCTAGAAAATTTATAGATGCTTCATTTGTAATCGCCAAATACTAGAAACACTTGAAATTTTCAACTACTAAGTGGATCAAAACAAAACAAAAACTGTGGCATGTCATTCAAATGGAATGCTACTCAGCAAAAAATGGGAACAAACTACTGATAAACACAGCAAAATGGAGGAGTCTGTGATACATTATGCTAAGTGCAAGAAACCAAACTCAAAGGCCTAATGCACAATAATTCACGTATATGACATCCTTAAAAAAGCAAAACAAGGGGAAAAAAGGGCTCTCCTGGTGACTCAGTGGTACGGTATCCTCCTGCCAATACAGGTGTCACAGGTTCAATCCCTGTGTTGGAAAGAGTCCCTGGAGGAGGAAATGGCAACCCACTGCAGTATTCTTGCCTGGAGAATCCCATGGACAGAGGGGCCTGGCAGGCTACAGCCAACGGAGTTGCAAAAGAGTTCAACCTGACTTAGCTAAACACCAGCAACACGTGTAAGACACCGTGTCAGTGGATGCTAGGGACAGAGAGTAAAATCAAGGGGCACTGATCACTGTATTAATGGTCCATTGCTTTGTAATATGTCCATGGCTTCTCTTGCAACTTCCGTGGGTCAGAAATCAGCAGGCAGCTTAGATGAGTACTTCTGGTCCCCAGTCTTTCATGAGGCTGCAGTTAAGCAGTAAGCTAGTTCCTGGCTGCAGTGTTATCTGAAGACTCAAATTGGAGAGGATCTGCTTCTAACGTCACATACATGGTTTTTGGCAAGATTCAATTTCTTGCGGAATTTGGGTTGAGGAGCTGCATTCCTTGCTAGCTGGTTAACCTGAGGCCTTTCCTAGTTCCCTGTCGTATGTACTTCTCCAAAAGGCAGCTTGCAACATGGCAGCCGACTTTCCTCAGACAGAGCATGTGACAATGTAAGAGCACCCAAAATGTCAGCCTCAGTCTTTTTATCACCTGATATCAGAAATGACATCCCGTCACCTTTGCCAAAAGTATATTTAGCAGAAAAGCATTAGTCACTCAGTGGTGTCTGAACTTTTGGACCCCTCAGTTGTGTCAAACTCTTTGAGACCCCATGAACCCACCAGGGTCCTCTGTCCATGGAATTTTCCAGGCAAGAATACTGGAGTGGGTAGCCATTCCATTCTCCAGGGGATCTTCCTGACCCAGGGATCAAATCTGGGTCTTCTGCATTGCATGCAGATTCTTTACCAGTGAGCCACCAGGAAAGCCCTACATTTACTGGAAGGAAGTCAGATCCAACCACCTTCAAGGGAAGAGTTTATACAGGGAGTTCAATACCAGTAGACAGGAATCATTCGGGACCGCCTTAGAGACTGCCTCCCATAGGAAGCCCTCTGGATCCCGTGGATTCTTATTTCATACCCAAAACACATTAAACTCTCCCAAGTTACCCGGGAATCTTATCATCTGAATCTGGGAGCCATGTTATAGTTAGCCTGCCAGACACAAAATAGAAGAGACAATTTTGGGGTGATCATAACTATTCTGTATCTTTTGGGAAAATAAAAACTGTTCCGTATCTCAATATTGACAGTGATTGCACAGTTGTATTTGTTTGGTAAAAATTCATAGAACTAAATTTCAAAAGGGATATATTTCGTTGTCAGTAAGTTGGACTTTAATAAAAAAGAAACAAGATAGCAAACTCAAGAATATAACATACATACACACATATATTACATTAAATTTTGGCCAAATTGAATGAATAGTTAATGTATAAATAAAATATATGTAAAGAAATCTATATTTTGGCAATGGAAAGTATTAATAGCATTATTATTTCTAATGTTGAAAAGCCATAATAATATACCATAAGTCTTATAATCAATAATTTTCTTATAGAAAAATAAAATTATTATTGATGACAACTTATATGACTTTTTACTGAAAGTTTATTGTGATCATATCAGTTTTTCTCTTTAACATTTGTTTTTCTTCCTTAGAGAAGACAACTCATCAATTCAAATATTAGGGAAGATGAACATATTTGTAAATATACTGTTAAATGTATCTTATTTACCAAAGTACTATTGGAACAATTTTCTAAAAATGTATTTTTAAAGCCACCTTTGAAAATAATTTACTTCCTGTATTTCTTGTTTTCCCCAATTCTGAAAAGTAACAGAGGTGAGGCAGTGGGATCCAGTTACTGTAACCTGTTTATACAGCTGTACTTCATTGAATGAAGGCTTGTGTTACACACAGTTTTTGATAGGAAGTCAATGCTTTTAAAACAACTATAGAGACAGGTCTTTAACCTCCACTCTGGTGGATTCTTTGTTCCACCATGTAGCTTCTGTGGAGGTTATAAGAAGGTAGTTCCAATACATATTATTGCCATCTAATCACATCATCTGCTTAGCTCATCCACTTATGAACTTGAAGCATGGATACATTATGATGAATTTTTTACACAAATTCTGAAAGGTCCAATGAAATAGTTTTGATTTATAGTGAAGTTTCTTTGTGATACATTCTGAAATGTTCAATAATGAGTATGTTCTAAAGAGAAAATGGTGTTTAGATGACTTCAAATGTTGAATCTATAAGAAGCTTTAAAAGATTTAGTATGTTCATTAGATTTATTATCTCTTAATAATATTGCATACAACATCTGAAGATTTTGAGTGTCAAGGAATTCTTTGTGCCTCTCTTATTCATAGTTATATAGGCTAATCAATAAACCACAGATTTAGGTTCTAGGTTATTTCAGGGATTATGCCTGGGAAGTTTGAGGTCATTATGGTGAAGTATTTCTTATTTGTGTAAAAACAGTTTTCTTCATTACTTGAGTAGAAATACAGGATCATTACTAGGAATGATTAAAAAAGTGTGGACCAATTAGAATCTAAGTTAGATATAAACTGATGTCTTGTGAAAATACTTGCCTCACTTGAAAATATATGACTTGAATAGAAATGACTTCTTATAAGCCTATCTATTCATAATCCTGTTCATAATTTCATTCTCACAGAATTAAATCTTTATTTCATTTGTTTACCTTAACTCTTTTTGCACATTTTGTTTGGTAACTCCCTATGTAGATTGTGGTTTCCCTGATAGCTCAGTTGGTAAAGAATCCGCCTGCAATGCAGGAGACCCCAGTTCAATCCCTGGGTTGGGAAGATCCCCTGGAGAAGGGAAAGGCTACACACTCCAGTATTCTGACCTGGAGAATTCCATGGACTGTATAGCCCATGGGGTCACAAAGAGACAACTGAGCCACTTTCACTTTATATATAGATTGCTCACAGAGCTTTCATTTCCTAAATGAAAGCTTTTTCTTGGCTAAGAAAAGTCCACCAAGATTGACTCTATTTATGCCTATTTCTCCGTATATCCATGTGTTTCACTAAAACTCTAACAAACTATCCTGCCATATGCCATGTATTTTAATGTGTGTGTGTGTCCATGCTAAATTGCTTCAGTCTTATCCAACTCTTTGTGACCCTGTGGACCATAGCCCACCAGGGTCCTCTGTCCGTGGGATTCTCCAGGCAAGAATACTCGAGTGGGTTCCCATGCCACCCACCCCCCAGGGGATATTCCCGACCTAGGAATCTAACCCTAGGTCTGTAGAGGTTATAAGAAGTTGAAGAGGTTATAAGAAGAAAACATATTATTATGCATCTCTATGTCTCCTGCATTCGCAGATGGGTTCTTTATAACTCTGACTATGTGGCAATTACAAAGACCAATAACTCAGTATTTCCACTGTTCAGTTCCCATGCATCCAAACCTATTTTTTTTTTTAATTTTCAATGTATACCAGCAGGGGTGACTGTCATATCATATGGTTAATTCCATCTTCTATATTTGTAGCAAAGGACAAAATTTATTTAGCTAAGAACATACGTTCTTCTAATAATATAGACTATATGGAATTTTGATATGTAATTCTGGTAGAAAATGAAATAATGAGGGCAGAATGAAAAATATGGGCTTGTTTTTTAAATTCCATACAATTAGATGGTCATTAGAGAAGCATATTGCTGCAGAAAAGACAAACAGCTATCTTTTGGATTTATATGAATTTCAAGACAGTATGAGGGCAATTTGAATAATGCTTAATGCATTGGTGAGATATGGGAAGAAATATATGTAACTTAATTATTAATATATATATATCTATAAATAAAACTGAAACATTAAATCTTAGGGCCAAATATTATTTTCCATTGTCTCTTATTCCAGTAGACAGATTTTGAAATTTATTAAAAAGCCATTAGGAAGAATATGGTATAATATTTCATTTTTAAATTTATACACTATTTCTCCCATCAGAGTATTCTTCTTTAATTAGAAATATGTTACCACATGCTGAAAACTCATCACAGTGCATTGACTGTTTTGTTCAAACATTACAAGTTAGCTTTTATGATCTGTTATATTGTAATATGTTAGCAAAGTGTAAATTTTGGAAGTCATTTCAGTTTGCTGGAGGCATTTAATTATATCATATACACTATACATATTTATTTGGCTATGTTTCAGTTTTATTTATAATTTATTTCCTCTCTGCTTCCAAAAATGATTCAAGGCAGCTTATTTTAATTATAATTATATTGACCTGCTTTTTTCCAGAGATGTTCCAGATTTTTCTTTCTCATTCAACAGAGCAGCATACACAACTGAAAATGGAAGTTGCCTTGTTCTTATTCTCATGGCTCATTTCAAATTATGTGTTTTGCAGAGGTTAACATTATGTGGGCTGGTCACCAAACGCACCACAGTTCCGAAGGCTATAACTTATCCACAGCACTGAGACAATCTGTCCTCCAAATTTACACTTCCTGGGTAAGTTTACAAAACTGAATTCATGTGATAATATAATTTCATTCAGTCACAGCTGTTCCTATTTCTTCTTCTGAGTAAACGAATGGAAAGGGTTTGGCTAAAATACTTCTTTCTCCTCTGTAAGGCCAGAGACAGAAGTGTTTCTTTCTCCTCTGTGAAGCCAGACACATAAGAAACAAGTGGTGTTGTCCAAAGGTACTCTTTTATTTGACAGTCCAAAACTCACTCTGAGGTGTATGGAAAGGTGAGAAAGTGTCTGGCTAATCCTTATTTACTGACAACTAAGAAGCTAATAGTAATAGTACTAATTAGTAACAATTAGTAATAGAGTACTAGTAGCTCCAGAAAGAATGAAGCAACTGGGCCAAAGTGGAAATAATACTCAGTGTGGATGTGTCTGGTGGTGAAAGTAAAATCCGATGCTGTAAACAATATTGCATAGGAACCTGGAATGTTAGGTCCATGAATCAAGGTAAACTGGTAGTGGTCAAGAAGGAGATGATAAGAGTGAACATTGATGTCTTAGGAATCACTGAACTAAAATGAATGGGAATGGGCAAATTTAATTCACATGACCATTATATCTACTAATGTGGGCAAGAATCCATTAGAAGAAATGAAGTAGCCCTAATAGTAGACAAAAGATTCCAAAATGCAGTACTTGGGTGCAATCTTGAAAACAACAGAATGATCTTGGTTCATTTCCAAGGCAGACCATTCAACAACACAATAATCCATCTATGCCCCAACCAGTGATTGTGAAAAAGCTGAAGTTGACTAGTTCTATGAAGACCTATAAGACCTTCTAGAACTAATACCAAAAAAGATGTCCTTTTCATCATAGGGGATTGGAATGCAAAAGTAGGAAGTCAAGATGCTTGGAGTAACAGGCAAGTTTGGCTTTGGAGTACAAAATGAAGCAGAGCAAATGCTAACAGAGTTTTGCCAAGAGAACCCACTGGTCATAGCAAACACTTTTGTCCAACAACAAAAGAGATGACTCTATACATGGACATCATCAGATGGTCAATACTGAAATCAAACTGATTATATTTTTTGCAGCTAAAGCTGGAGAAGCTCTATATAGTCAGCAAAAACAAGACTTGGAGCTGACTATGGCTCAGATCATGAGCTCCTTATTGCAAAATTCAGAATTAAATTGAAGAAAGTAGGGAAAACCACTAGACCATTCAGGTATGACCTAAATCAAAATCCCTCTTGATTATACAGTGGAGGTGATGAATAGATTCAAGGGTTTAGATCTGGTAGACAGAATGCCTGAAAAACTATGGAAGAGGTTCATAATGTTGTACATGAGTCAGTGACCAAAACCATTCCACAGAAAAATAAATGCAAGAAAACAAAATGGTTGTTTGAGGAGGCTTTACATATAGCTGAGAAAAGAAGAGAAGCAAAACTAAGGGAGAAAAGGAAAGATACACCCAACTGAATACAGAGTTACAGAGAACAGCAAGGGGAGATAAGAAGGCCTTTTTAACTGAACAATGAAAAGAAATAGAGGAAGACAGTAAAATGGGAAAGAACAAGATTTCTGCAAGAAAAATGGAGATATCAAGGGGACATTTCATCCAAGGATGGGCACAGTAAGGGGCAGAAATGGTAAAGAACTAACAGAAGCAGGAGAGATTAAGAATAGGTGGCAAGAATACACAGAAGAAATATACCAAAAAGGTCTTAATGACCAGGATAACTGTGATGGTGTGGTCACTTATCTAGAGTCAGGCATCCTGGAGTGTGAAGTCAAGTGGACTTTAGAAAGCATCATTATGAACAAAGTGAGTGGAGGTGATGGAATTCCAGCTGAGCTATTTCAAATCCTCAAGGATGATGCTGTTAGAGGGCTGCACTCAATACGCCAGCAAATTTGGAAAACTCAGCAGTGGCCACAGGATTGGAATAGGTCAGTTTTCATTCCCGTCCCAAAGAAGAGAAATGCCAAAGAATGTTCAAACTATGGTACAATTGTGCTCATTTCACACGCTAGTGAAGTTATGCTCAAAATCCTTCAGGCTAGGCTTTCAGCTGTATGTGAACCAAGAACTTCTAGATGTTCAAGCTCAGTTTATAAAAGGCAGAGGAGCCGGAGATCAAATTGCCAACATTCACTGAATCATAGAGAAAGCAAGGGAATTCCAGAAAAAAATATCTGCTTCTCCTTCACTGATTATGTAAAAGCCTTTGACTGTGTGGATCACAACAATTAGTGGGAACTTCTTAAGGAGATGGGAATACCAGACCACTCTACCTGTCCCCTGAGAAACCTGTATGCAGTCAAGAAGTAACAGTTAGACTCTTGCATGAAACACCTGACTGGTTTAAAATTTGGAAAGGAATATGACAAGGTTGTATATTGTCTTCCTGTTTTTTTAACTTGTATGCAGAGTACATCTGGCAAAATGCTGGGCTGGATGAATTACAAGCTGGACTCAAGATTGCTGGGAGAAATATCAACAACCTCAGATACACACATGATAGCACTCTAATGGCAGAAAATAAAGAGGAACTAAAGAGCCTCTTGATGAGAGTAAAAGACAAGAGTGGAAAAGCTGGCTTAAAATTCAACATTAAAAAAACTAAGATCATAGCATCCTGTCCCATCACTTCACGAGAAATAGATGGGGCAAAAGTGGAAGTAATGAGAGATTTTCTTTTCATGGGCTCCAAAATCACTGTGGACAATGACTGCAGCCATGAAATTAAAAGATGCTTGCTCTTTGTAAGGAAGGCTATGACAAACCTAGCCAGCATATTAAAAAGAAAGACATCACTTTGCCAACAAAGTTCATATACTTAAAGCTATGGTTTTCCAGCATGTATGGATGTGAGAGTTGGATCATAAAGAAGGCTGAGCACCATAGAACTGATTCTTTTGGATTGTGATGCTGGAGAAGACTCTTGACAGTCCCTTAGACTGCAAGAAGATCAAACCAGTTAATCCTAAGGGAAATCAATATTGGAAGGACTGATGCTGAAGCTGAAACTCCCAATATTTTGGCCACCTGATGTGAATAGCCAGCTCATTGGAAAAGACTCTGATGCTGGGAAAGATTGAGAGCAGGAGAAGAAGGGGGCAACAGAGGATGAGACGGCTGAATGGAATCACCAACTCAATGGACATGAGTTTGAGCAAGCTCCAGGAGTTGGTGATGGATAAGAAAGCCTGGTATGCTACAGTCCATGGGGTCACAGGGAGTCTTACGTGATTTAGCAACTGAACAAGAAGAACAAGGAGCATGATATATTGACAGCGTATCTCGATTCAAACAGATGCAAAGATTTCATTAGAAACTTTTAAAAACAGTTGTTTAAAAAATCAATTCCTAATTCTGCATGCTGAAGTAAAATCCAATTAAATCTTTTGCTTTTTATTTGCATATTAGAGCAGTTAGTATAATGCTCAACAGAAAGTTTGGCTCCAAAATATTTTAAAACAAGGAAATGACAAGACTAATGAATATCAAAAATTGCTTCTAGTTCTAAGGTTCTTTTGAGTCACTGGACAAACCTGATCTACCTGCTGCCAGACATCATCTGTAATTCTCTCTTTAACTCTTGCATTAATAGCTGTCTAAAATACTGCTACTAAAATGCACCTTGAGCTAGAATGTCAAAATTATCAGTGTACAAGGATATTCAGCAATAGCTTTTACTAACTATAAATTATAATGATCTAATATTTGTATGGTTCTCAATAGCTTGCATGATAGACACCATTTATTGAATATTTTCTATGTGCCAGGCAATCCTCTAAGACCTCTTTATATATTAATTTGTTTGATCTTTCTGGCACAGGTGTTATTGTACCTCTCATTTCAAAATTATAGCTTACTCCACAGTTCAGTCACAAAAATAGTAAAGAGTGGAGTAGAATTTGAACTCGTTCACCTGGCTGCAATGATCTTAACCTCTACACTGAATCCTCTTCTCTGTGCCTACGTGTTGCCTTCCACTTTTGTCATCTCCTTTGATCCTCGCAAATAAGCCCCATGCTATACTAGATCAAGTATTAACTGTTATGAAGACCTTTAGATCAGTGAGGTTAATTTCACAGCTAGTAGGTGACAAAGCCCCATAGTTGTAATCAGATGCCTCACACAGTCCGTAGAAACACACTGACGTGTGTTCTGACCCAGACAGATGCACAGGCCATACAGATGGATAAGCCAATGATGGCGCTAATACGTGTGCTGAAATGGATATTGAAAGAAATCAACCCCCTCCTCCCCACACCAGTGCACCTATGTTATAGCCTATAATTTCTTAAGCCTGTTGTAACCCAGTACCACAAACTGGGTGATTTAGAACAGCCTCCACCATTCTGGAGGCCAGAAGTTTGAAACCAGTGTTGGCAGGGTCAGCTCCTAGGGGAGAGGCTGTTCCAGTCCTTTTTCCTAGGTTCCCTAATCTTGGGGAAATCATGGGGGTCTAATTTCACATGGGGGTCTCCCTGCATCTGTGTTCAAATCTCTCTTTTTTTAATAAGGATACTAGTCATACTCAATTAGGAGCCCACCCCACGCCATTATGAGGACCTCTTAACTAATCACATCTGCAATGATCCGATTTCCAAATAAGGTCACATTCTGAGATATTTAGGGAATAAGATTTCAACACATGGACTTTAGAGAGAAATGATTCCATCTATACACAGCTCTAAGCAATATAGATGGAAAAGATAGATAGGTAATTCCCCTCTCGTATCTTCTATAGCTTGCCCTAGAACTCTACATAATTAAATGTAGAGGAAAATTCTCCCTCTTATGCAGCTCTACATACCTCAAGAGTTGTTCAGGGCTTCAGTGAATGGAGGGAAGGACAGGCCTTTGACTCGGGAGGGACATAGTGTCCACCCTCCCTTCTTAGGGAATAGCTGCATTAATGCAAACGTCTATTAACCTGTACAAAATAGGCTGAATATATGACTGATTAAAATAATAACCTTAAAGATATTTATTCTCTCCCAATGTATATATTACTAT